AATAAACGCACACAATACAGACATCCATGTCTTGAGTTGGATTCGAACCCACGATTCCAGCGTTCGAGAGTGCGAAGACAGTTCATGCCCTAGACCGCGCGACTACTGTGATCATATACGCACAGAATTAGGTATAAAAAAATTAAAGACAATTTTGATACAAGTTTATTAGGTTCAGGTTTCATTATGGGTTCAAACATATCGTATTTGTATACAGAATATATAAACGTACAGATTTTCAATGAATCTTGTCTACGGTAAGCAAGTTGCCTAACTACATTACAAAACGTGTTCTTTATTTGGTATTGCTCTACTTGCTTCGATGTCTGACGATCATCTCTGATACGTCGTGAATGGCGATTCATCGATTGTTCCGCATAAACTGATCGATTTGCCCTCTAAACTCAACACTTTACACCCGAATGCTGACCCATCATCAGCAACACTCGACCGCCTTTCTCCAGATCCTACCATCTCTTACCTTACGAGCGTAGCTACAGCCATATTGAACTGACATTCTTCTCGAAATTTCATTTTTTACATGCTGACTGCAGCCATGTGAAACATGACACAGTAGTCAAAAGGCAATGCAAACACTTATAGGTGAAGATTAGGGACGATTCATACGGTCTATATCCGCCACCTTTACCTTGAAACTCACTGTTATCTGAATGATAAGGGCGCTCACTGACAAGTGAACAGTCATTTCATTTCTGCATTAACTACTTCTTCCACTGCTTAGAAAACAGGCTTGCAAAAAGCTTTATTTAGGGAACAGAGTCCATCGCATTTTACGCGGCAGATGCGCTCCTGAAGACCTCGTGTGATTCAAGACAAAGTTTCCTCATGAGAACAAAAGCATTCCTGATTTTTTTTGAGGGGGGGGGGGGNGCTCATGGAAAGAAAATCATCTACTATTTGTTTTGAAGGGGGGGGGGAGAAGGCCAATATTTCGAACTTTACGCATAATGTGAGACTTCATTAAAAGTTTTATATCACTACTATTTCAAATTCAGAGAGCCGGGATAGCGTTGTAGGTATAGTGATTGGCTACATGCTGGGCGACTGAGGGGCTGGAGTTCGAGTCCATGTAGGGTCAAGAATTTTCTCTTCTCCACGTTGTCTAGACCGGCTCTGGGGCCTATCCAGCCTCCTATTCAAAAGGTACTGGGGGTTATTTCCATTGGGGGTAAAGCGGCCGGGGCTTGAAGCTGACCACTCGCCTCAAACTAGTGCGGAGATCAAGAAAATGTAGCTCTATATGTTCACTCCCCCATACACCTTCATGGCGTAGTACTTAATTACATAAGCTGAGGGACAACTTTACCTTTTTACCTTTACTATTTCAAATTCGCACTCTAAAAAAGTAAAAAAAGTAAAGCCATCCCTGTAACAGGCCGTGAAGACCCATAGGGTTGTGATATGTTCAGGATCCCACATTATCTAGACAATCGGCTCAAAGATGGCCGTAAGGTTGTCAGCCTTACGTGCCGGCCGCGCTTTACTCCCCAGGAAAATTAATTCATTCCTGGTACTCATTCATGTTAGAGGGTGAGTCGGCCCAAGGGCCATAGTGCGGCTGGAAGGATTAGGTCAATTGAAACAAATCCACTGCCTTCATCGGAACTTGAACCCGCGACCTTCCGTCTTGTAGCATAGTGCCTCAACCACTACGCTACCGCACTCTATTTGTAAATATTAGGAACTAGATACGTGTATGGAGGTCCTACGCATTAGCTATCTAATTTTCTCTTAAGTTTCATAAATTCAATTTAAAGCATTATAATGACCTGTGTATAAAACCGACAAATTGTGTTCAAGTAACGTGACAAATATTCGAAGCGGAAGACATCGGAAATATTTAAATACATTATTACGGCCTACTGATATTTTGTGAATATCACGAATGGGAACAATGGTAATGGTGCATGAATAAACATCGGTCCTCTCAGTATAGGTCTGAGTGATACAGGAAAAATTTCGTGTATTTTTTAACGACGACTATCCGTGTTAAAGGCGTCATCGGAGAGGCCAGTAAATGAATGACTGCCAATGTCGATGCGTCATGGCACATGCCATGCCATTCTGAATGATAACCTCAACCCTCATAGTGCGTTTACTAGTTTCATGAAATCCCACTGAAAACCTTTGTGAATTGATTCCCTTTTTAAAGGAGAGTGGAGAGTGATCCAGTCATTGTGAACAAAGTCGGGCCTACGGAGGGCAAGCCACCGCCATCAGACAAGACGCAGACGTTTTTGACAGACAGCCCAAAGAGGAACTTGATTCTGGAGGCTCTCGATAACAATGACGTCGTTCACCCAGGTTCATTCCAAACAGCATCAAGTCAAAAAGACCAGCTACAGAGACATTAAAGGCAATGCACCAACCCACAAATCTTTTTTGGTACAAGAGTATTAGACCCAGAATTGTATCTCTGTACTTTTACAATCTTCGGTCACAGTAGCTTCGCGGTCTAGGGCATGAACTGTCTTTGCTCGATCAGAAGCCGGGATCGTGGTTTCGAATCCCTCTTAGGGCATGTATATGCGGTGTGTGTGTGTGTGTGCGTTTATTCTGTGTCCGTATTGACCTGTGTTTAGGTAGAGGAATAGCGACGAGCTGATCACTCGTCCAAGGAGTCCTACCGGCTGTGAAAAATGATTACGGAACTGAATAAGAGGCCTGGGACCTGAATGGGCTGGAAGAGCTACTGAAAAAAAGAAATTAATTTTACAACTATCCCACACTCTCCTGATCTAACCCCTGTTGCTTACCGCCTTTGCCCCAGAACGAAAGCTTTCTTGAAAGGACGCAGGATACAGTCAGCAGAACAAATAGTAAAATAAGCTATGACGGTAGTAATCAAGGAGACTTTAGGAAATTGCCTACACGAGTCCTTCCAGCAGTGTACGGCCGATGGCACATGTGATATAAAGGAATGGAGCACTTCAAAGGCGATGTGCAGTACAACTCACCATAATGTCAAATAAAAAGACATGGACAAAAATACGCCATATCGATTTCCGATGTCACTCGATTTTTTCAGTTTTCTAATCCTTCAAGCCACACTATGGCCCTGGGGTTCACTCAGCCTCTAACAGAAATGAGTACCAGGAATCATCCTGGGGGTAAATGGAAGCCGGCGCGTAGGGCTGACAACCTTACCACCATCTGTAAGCAGATTTCTAGAAAATGTGGAAGCCTCGACGTCTTAGAAGCCTATGGGCCTCCGGGGCCCGTTACAGGGATATCTTTGTTCACACATACGTCAATGTCCTCTTATCTGATAATTCGCCGGGCTCTGCAATCTCTTGTAAGTCTCTTAGAATATTTATATACTGCTGGATTTGTCCGACGCATCTACTGGATGAAGTTCGTGCAAGCTCGGTATTTTACTTACCTACAATAGGATTAAACTACCAATGAGCCAAGTAGGTCCATACCCTACATTATATAACAGGTTAGACCAAGTGTATTGGTCTGACTCGCATTATGCAGTGCCCGGGTCGAATCTCTATTGGGGAACCGATTATAAGGGCTGAAAATTTTTTATGATTTTCTTTACACATTTTATATATATCCTTACACCAAATTCAATGAAAAATAACAACTAGGCCTATTGGCAATTTAAAACCGTTGAATGACCTACGAATCAGATTATGGCCGAGACAAGAATTTCTTTTATCGCTAAGACCAGACAGGATCTGGGCCTCATCAAGTTTCATAAGAACGCTAACTGGGGACCACTTCTGTGAGGACCAGACCGTGAAGCTGACTACTTCTTGCCTCTAAGTTCCGAGGTTAAGAATTTGTGAAGTACTAACGCAAATCCCCCCACTCCATGGGTAATGCTTAGGAACAGAGACATCCCAAGTTAAAATGTTAAGAAGTTCAGGAATTGGCGTGAAGACATTGAACTGGCCAAACTGATTATCGGCCTTCTATCTTAAATTTCCGGTCATAAAATTAAATACTAAAATTATGAAGTCGTTAACTGAATGTAGGCCTACGGAAATCCGCAAATTCAATCCCGGGGCTACCTGAACAAATCAGTTCTCAGCAGTCTGGCTGTATGACACAGCGGTATTTATAGCTGCTTGCAGAAGGTGTAATACTGCCAACAACTTATTCGTAAAGACTCTCAATTATGCTAACGAAGCATAATGCCTGTACAGTTACTCCAAAAATCGAAGAAGCTAATGACAGACATGCCTGCAGATCTGATGTGCTTTGCACACACGCTGTGTTATACCGTTCGGGTGAAAATTTAGAAACGTAAATTAGGCTTCGAGAATTTTGTAATCTGAATTCTTGGCCTAACACGATTAGGTCAAAAAATGTATACTTACAGAACGCGTAGTACCCATGAAGGAAACAATTCATACATTTTGATAGACATAACTTAAGTGTGGAAGCCAGTTAGATAACCTGAGCGTAGGTTACAGAATAATAATAATAAAAAGGAAACTAGATTTAACTTTCTAAGGCAGAACCCAATGACCGCGTTCAGTGAATATACAAGTATTATAATTAGCCATCAGGTACCTCAAAACAACAAAGGATTTCTTGACCATCCGAGTAACTGTCAAATCTCCAAAGGAAAAACTTAAGGTCCTGAAAGTAATGAAGTACTTAAAAAAAAAAGTAAAGCTGTCCCTGTAACAGGCCGTGAAGGCCCATAGGGCTGTGAGACGTTGAGGGTCCCACATTATCTAGACAATCGGCTCAAAGATGGCGGTAAGGTTGTCAGCCTTACGCACCGGCCGCGCTTTACTCCCCAGGGAAATTATTTAATTAGCGGTAGCGTAGTTGGTTGAGGCACTATGCTACAAGCAGGAAGGTCGAGAGTTCTTGGATTTTTTTCAATTGACCTAATCCTTCCGGCCGCACTATGGTCCTCGGGTAGACTCAGCCTCTAACAGAAATGAGTACCAGGAATGAAGTAGTTACATTATTAAAAATCTGTACATGCATATTCGTCTGATACTGCTACTTACTCCAAGCACTCACAACTCCGCTTAGTGTATCTCCTGGAATTTCCATGGTTATTAGCATAATCTGTTTTCAAAGTACAAACACTGTGTCACTTCCCTGAGAATTTATTGTGGTATGGAGCATTGTCTGTATTTTCCTACTAGATTCCACCACACGCAACTTTCACACACATCACGATTTTTAGAGCACAGAGCGAAAAATCGCAAAGAAAACTTTCAAACTCAAACCTCAAATGATAGTTACGTCATACATTAACTACAGTTTTCGTTGTAGTGGAATGGAGACCCTGAGGAACTTTCCGGTAAGGACGGCCACTTTTCATGGCGTTAGAGACACACTGTGCCATGGATGGAAAGATGTTGTAATGAAAAGAATATATCACACAGATGAATATACCAAATGGGTAAAATAACTGTATAAACACAATGCAATTTTTGACCTCGCATCTAAATCTGAATATTATTTGAGTTAATTAATTGCGAAAATATTTCAAAAGACAATTGCGGTGTGATAAGAAGGTAATAATTTCATCTTATTCATTCCATAGGTTTCCTTTTTTAAACAAATAATGATCACGAAAATAGTGTATCAGATTCCACATTTGCGACGGAATTTAAAATCACAAATTCACGAGCCTCAGATCCCTTTGTATGAAGCTATTGAAACTACTTCAGAAATATATGTATCGTAAAAGAGAAATATTGACTAAGAGCACTTCACTTGCTGCAGAGGCCACACTAATTTCCTGAGATCGGAATTCCACGACGATGTCAGTATCAAAACACATAATTAACTCTAGTGAGGCACAAAATGGAGGGGGGCCAACAGTTAAGACTGACACTTCCAATTTCTGGCGGACAACTACAAGCGCGTAGGAACAGCTGATTCAAAAACGTTTATAGCCTTGGCGTCTACAACACAAACTGACTCCAATGTTAATCATAGGAACCTTAGAGCAAAACTATTAACATTTCTGAAACATTTTGTCATTGAGAACCTCACTACCATACAATTACCACAGCTCCATTAAGTAAATGTTTTCTCAAAAGAACTGATACTCAAAAGTGAGCACGCGATCGCACTGTCGCCAACTTAACAGTTGTTATTACATCATTCAGCCATCTGTGAGATCAATAAAGGGGAGACAGTGTGCTGGACAGAGGGCCGGTGAATGCAGATGTGAAGGGCAACTCTTGCCAGCGTCTGTTACTGTTAACTGCTTATAAAATGGGGGTGTGTCTAGTGGCTAGCAGCCATATTGCAGTACACTTAGGATTACCAACCATATGAAAGTGGCCATTTTAATGCTCTCGGAAGGGATTTTTGAGTACCCGTGAGAATTTTAATGCACGTGTATTCGTAATAATTTCTCTTTCGGGATGTGACGCCGCGTAGTCTGTTAGTTCACTGACTTTTGGAGGAGCTTGCTTGTTTGTTGCTTGTTTCTCGCTGTATGCTTGGCTCGACCCTGGAGACAGACGCAGTACGATCCTCCGAAACCCCTACCAGATTACACGACGTCACATCCCAGAAGAGAACCTCAAATCTAACATAATTTCTCGTTGTTCGCTGATAGTAGCAAAGCAAGGAGAGATTTCCGCGCTATGAACAAAATCTTTGTCCAGTGTCTTAAGTTTGAAGTGTTTTGACTGTGCTCAAGTGTCACATTAACTTTTGCGTTCTGGTGCAAATTATGGTGATACCGTCTGAGAAATTGGCTTTTTATTAATTAGGTATGTTGTGGGACATACTGTCAAAATACTTGGTAAAATATCTTCATGTGAGAACACGTGGTGCAAAATTACTCTAATAATTGCACGTATATTAATTGGTGTGTTATCTTGTGTTAGATTATACGAGTAAGTGGACAACCTATCTCGACGCAAGTTCAACAAGGGTCTCATATGAAATAGAATATAGTTCTACTAGTCGAACTAAGGCCGAGTATAACCATAAGCAAACGCACCGACAGGTAACGAACCATCAGAGGACGGAAAAAATACTCTCAAAAGTATTGTAGCGTGTACAGCCGTTTCTAGGCAACGGCGACGAAACAAACAAAGGAACAAAGCCCGTTGCTAGGCAGCTGATTTTTAATAAAGCAACAACTGGACTACAACAATGGAAAAGCTGTGATTCCTAAGTGGTCCGTGTCGAGATGTTATAAGCAAGACGAGGTTTAAAAAAATACTATCGACTATGACTGACAAATGACAGACCCGACCTCTCGTCAGAGAGGGCGCCCCGCATGGACAGGACCGTAACTATTATTTAAAAGGGAACATCTGGTCATGAGCCCCAGCCGGGGCTCGACTCCAGGACAACAGACTGACTGACTGTCAGTCGCAATGTGACTTTGACTTTGAGCCTAGTCAGTTGATAGGAGGTGAAGAGAAGGCTAGGATTGTGGTGTGAAATGGCCGCACGTTAGTTGCAAGAGTGTTCAGTTGAAAGACCAGATGAGAAGAAAAAGACTTGATATGTTATATTTTGAGGGTGTAACTCAGACTGTTACAGTTCCAGTGTTAAAATCCGTTGCCAGGAAACGGCTAGTGGAGAATGTAATAGACCGAGGACACAGTAGTCTGTGTGTGTGTCAGTGACCTGTAAATTGCAGTCCCGAGTCGTGAGCGTACCAGTGGTCAACAAATCGAGTAACCAATCGAAACCCCGTCTATAGTTACACACATAATACGTGAGAGCATTTAAGGAGAATGTTCACATCAGAAATTAACAAAATAGATTGCCACCGACAGGGACCGGTCGAAAAAGTTGGGAAGAATATTTCGTTGTGTAGGCGTTTGACGGAACTTGTCGCTCGCAGAGTTACCTATGGGTGTCACACAATACAAGTGACTGTGGTGGTCCGTTGTGTGCAGGTCAATACAAACAAACAAAACAAACTCCGTGAGTTTAGTACGCAAGCGAACTATACCGACTGAGTGACCGCCGCTTGTCGGCGAAGTTAGTGCCAACTTTGGCGGATAGAAGGTGTCGCGTGATCATCGCAACGAATCCACACGGCAGTTAATTTCGGTTTTCTAGAGCGGAGCCGCTACTTCCTTGAAACAGCTCCTCAATTATCCTCACGAGGCTGAGTGGACCCCATTCTAGCCACACTACTTCTCAGAAATATCTGGTAGCGCCGTGAATCGAACCCGGACCTTTGGATCTGTAGCCAGGAACGCCGACCACTAGACCACAGAGGCGGCTGTGTGCAGGTGAATTCGAGCAAATTGTGGGTCCCCTGATGGTCGGCTTCCTCATAGTGTCCTTACGTATACACTATACATACTCGCAGTGTGAACAGGGAGCCGCGCCATAGCTCAAGCGGTTAGTCGCTGTCTTCCCACAGCGGCGGCCCGAGTTCGATCCCGGGTCTGGTCAAGTGAGATTTGTGGTGGGCAAAGTGGCACTGGGGCAGGTTTTCTCCGAGTACTTCGGTTTCCCCTGCCAATCTTCATTCCACCAATTGCTCCACAATCACCGTCACCTATCATCTGGGGCTGGTACAATAGGCCAGAAGTGGCCGCAGTACAAGGGACTTAGTCCCACCCCACTAGCAATAAAAAAAATAATAATAGTGTGAACAGGCCTTTACGTAAAAGTGTCCATAAGAAACTGACAGCTACTCAGCTTGTTAAATAATTCCTCTCCTTCTATAAAACCCCAAATTTCATTACCTTGTTCACAAGAGCCAATCGCTGGACTCTTTTTTAACGGCCGGCTGAATTCAATTTACATCCTCATGCTCTTGGGTTATTTATTTAATATCCACTTTAACATTAACCCCCAATCTACCAATATGCTCTCTTCCCATAACGTTTTCCGACCAAAGTCCCGAGCGCATTTCACTGGACCGAAACGAAAAAGGAAACAGACTTTAAAACCTGATTCGTATTTTGCGTTTCCAGATGGCCGCGATGAGGCATAACGCTTACCGTTCACATCTTGATAATAACACACATATACACGTATATATATATATACACACATATCACATACACCATAATTTAAGGAAATTTTTAACAACATGGACCTGTAACTGACTTCATATTTCCTTTCCGGCTTTGATAGAATCTATACATTGTGAATTGCTGGAGACTGTTTCTGTCCGTTACACTTCAAACTTGGAGAAACACAAGCTGCAGGCCGTCTGTTTGTAAAATCCCTGCTTGCAAGTACTTGTTCATTGTGTGGTAATGTTGTACACTACTCGCATGAAAAGATAAATACCGCTGAGAACAGCAATCTTAAAGAGAAAAAATGCAGACAGCACAGCATTTTTGACTTATTCTACAGGTGAAATGAATACTTGAGTTGCCGCAATAAATACATAGGATGCTTTATACAAAAATTAATACGTAAAAAAAGATAGAGTTATCCCTGTAACAGGCCGTGGAGGCCCATAGGGTTGTGAGACGTCGAGATTCCCACATTTTCTCTAGACAATCGGCTCACAGATGAGAGTGACGTTGTCAGCCTTACTCGCCGGTCGCCCTTTACCACATAGGAAGATTCCTGGTACTCCTTTCTCTTAGAGCTTGAGACGACACCAGGGCCATAGTGCGGCTGGAAGTTTAGGTAAATTGGAAAAATTAAACTTATCTGGACTTTAACTCGCGACCTTCGGGCTTGTAGCACAGTGCCTTAACCAACTACGCCCATAAAAATCAATAGGTAGCTATAAATATTTATCTTTTTAACACACCCTATAATTATTGGCATACTGTATACAGCTTACGTCACAGTTGCAGCCAGTCTTTCTTCAGAAGTATGCCCTTGCGGAATCTGTTTCTCTGTAGATACCAGAATTTCTTTTAAAATAAAAATAAGTTTCACAGGCTTATATTTAAAAGAAAACTTATCAGGTTCTTTCAGCGACTGAGGGAAAAGAGTATGAATTTCATTGTATTTTCTATATATTTCTATACATTTCTATACAGTAAAAGCTTTATGGTTCTGCGTGAGATTATGATTAACACAGTACGGCGACAGACGGAAGCATAGGCTGCTGAAGGTAGATTAACTGCCAATAATAGCCTCCCTGTCAACTGTTGTCATTTTCGAGAAAAAAAATTGAATTTAGAATAGTTTCTTAAAACCTCTATTTTGCGTTTATTTTTTTTTTCAGCATTGGATGTTATGATTAGAACGTGAATATGCGAAGCGAAATCCCTAGGCATAACCAATATCATTTACCCGATACCTTTGCACTTCAATAAATACATTTTCAAAAGATACTCCGTATCTAACAAATGTATTTAAATAGGAATGTAAATTTTAGTGCCGAGCTTTCATCGCGTTTGATTTAATAATGTGACCATAAACAACGGAAGACCCAGTTCGGCCGCATACGGGTGTACGCCACATGCAGACCGCATCCCAAGAGGCACGTATTAAAATCGGTTCTCTTACTTCAAGTTTTTGTGTCGGGCGAAGAAATGTGTTTAAAGTGGCAATTGCTCTGATACGTTTCAGGACTTATTTGTGGATACCTTCCCCAATCCTATAGTCGGGATTGCACTGTTGGTGTAGCAACTGACTACGGGATGGACGACAGAGGGTTCGGAGTTCGAGTCCCGGTAGAGTAAAGAATTTTCTCTTGTCCACGTCGTCCAGACCGGCTCTGGGATTCACCCAGCTCCCTGTCCAGTGGGTACCGAGACTGTTTCCCCCGGGGGGTAACACGGTCTGGGCGTGAAGCTGACCACACACCTCAAGCTAGTGCCAAGGCCAAGAAAATGTGGCTCTATAAATCCACTCCTCCATACGCCTTCTAGGCGTAGTGCTTAATAAGTTAAGCACAGGGAGAAATTAAACCTTACCCTCCCTAATCCTGCTTACTCTTTGTGGCATGTTAGGGATATGAATACACCGCATTTCGTATGGAGTTTTGTATTGTACCAACTCATTTAAAACTGCTCTCA